GAACGAATGAGCCCCACTTCCCATCCAGGCTTCTATCTTTTTCTACGGCACTGTGAGAAAGCTGTCCACTCGAGGTGGAGAGAGACCGGCTGAGAGAGAGACTCTGGGCCCGGGCCGTACTCGGAGAGAGGCGCTGAGGTAGCAGTTGGGTCCGGAGAAGCCCGGGTCGCAGAGGCAGCGCTGCTGCAGACAGTCGCCGTGGCCCCCGCAGTGGTCCGGACAGGGCGGCCCGATGTAGAAGTTGTCGATAGCCCACTGAGCGTCCGAGTGCTGCTGGTAGAAGCGGAACCGCACTGGCCTGCAAACACACAGAGCGGCAGTGAGACCCCCAGACCCCCACCCCACTGCGGGGACACCCCGTCTCGGCCTTTACAACTCGCTGGCTCTTACACGAAGCACTAGGGGGGAAGCGCACAGACGTTTTTTCTTCTTACTGTAAAGTGCTTCGAGATGCTACTTCCAAAGGCACTATACACCCTAAAATAAAGTTTATGATTATATACTGTAAAAGAGCGATGTGCAGGGCGGTAACGAAACTCTGCCTGTGAGAACAAGACCTGCAGTGTCCTGCACATTCATTTGCACAGTACCTGGGCATGTGAAGGGCAAAGGGGCAGGTTCACCACTAGATGGCGCTACACTGCCGTTCAAAGTGAGCCCTGTCCTGATCTCAGACTGCATAAAGAGAATGACATGGCACTGCTGGCTGTTGTGTCCCTGCGGCCATTTCTGATCAAGGACAGAGATGGCACGTGGTTGCAGGGAGGTCAGAGTAACTCTGCAGGGTGTGCAGCAAGTCGGTACCACTGATGCTCTGCATCAGAATTTCACATACAAAGAAGAAACCGAGTAGAAACCCATTTTCAGGAAATATCTTACTGTGATCTGAGTTCTGATTGGGCAAGACAGGCTGGCAAAAATGAATTATAGTGTTTTGAATTAGTTTCATACAAGACCTGCTTGGGAAAGCCACAACCAACTAAACCAAGTGGATATTGCTAACAAAGCGCAGCCAATGAAGGATGAATCCCAAGTGCTCCCCCTCTGCAGCGCCACCGTGTGTTGGGAACGGGAAGGGCAGAGGCGGCAGTGACTCACGTGTCGGTCAGGGCGTCAGGCAGGGGGAAGACGACGCGCTTCCAGCCGGCGGCGGGGAAGAAGACAGAGGGCTGGGAGACCTGGCCGGCGCAGCGCGGCTCGGCGGGCAGGCACTGCGGCACCAGGTAGCGCCACGACACGCCGAAGTCTACCGAGTACTGGACGTGCACCTGCCTCGCCGTCTGCTTCTCCGGCGCCCCGCAGCCCACGGCAATCTGGACAGCACAGGGCGAGAGACACCGCCACACCGTCAGCCACGCCGCCGCCCGCGCGCGTGGAGGCCTGCGGTGTGGGGGGGGGCACCTCACCTTGAACTGCATGATCCAGCCGCGAGCCGGGACGATGTCATGCGTGACGGCGTACACCTCCCTCCCGTCCGCGCCGCCGCACACCATCACGCCGTCCGGGGCGCGGCAGAAGCGCTGCACCGCGCAGTCCTCGTGGAACATCCAGTGCTCGCTCACTGCGGGCCAGGGAGGGGAAGGACACCCAGCGTCAGTGGTCACTGC